TGGCACCAAACTATCCGAAGCGTTAGGGCAAAGATGGGATCCAAGTGCATCCTGCACATGCACAGGTACCAAACTTGTCGTGCAAACACGCACTGCAACAAGATATGGTCTACCGTGTCTTAGTCTTGGTCGCATAGAAAGCATGCGGAAGTTTGGTCTTGCAGACCATGGCAGACTCTCCTATCTGCGGTCCACAGACGGTACTGTACAACAAGCCACATGAAGATCTTGCAAGCAAGCGGCGTCCAGCACTTCCAGATAGCCGAGAAAGAATGAAAACGGATCCCGCCTTCGCAGAGCATCTTATAAGCAGAGGACGCGGTGTATGTCCCATTGTTGTTCCAGGCCCTAATTGGCTTATCTTCAGCCTCCGGATCAAGTTGTACGTCCATGAGAATCTCCCAAAGGGTGATGAACTGGGTGAGCCCCTCCGTACAAAGTGCTCCAACGATGTCACTGGCCCAGTCGTGTGAGTTCAGGGCATCCAGAAGACTTCTCTTGTTGCGCACTTGCGGCCGTACCCGAGCCACCACGAGGGGAGCAATGTCGTTAATGGTGGCACCGTTACACCATCTATCCTTCCATAATAGGATTTGCGCTCCTCCACCAATCTGCCATTTGACCAGGCTCTTGAATGCAGCAGTCACCTTTTTATCCATAACCAAGTTGAGGCCCTGCCAAGGCCTCGTCCTGTCCGTACGCCTCAACCACTCCCATCTCAATCTTAGGGCAATCCCGTGTTTGTAAAGATCAATCACACGCAGTCCACCGAGCTGCTTCGGGCGACAAACCCTTCTCCAGGAAACAACGCACTTTCCACCATGAACCTCCTCGGAGCCAGCCCAAAAAAATGCACGGCAACCTTGGTCGACACGCTCCAAGCCCATTTGGGGGCCTCCGCAATCATCAGATGATGAGTAGCGCGTGCTCTCATTACTTGGTTGACGAGGATGAGACGACCGGGCCTGGTAACTAGGCCTCTTTGCCAGCCAGGAAGGATGTGCAACACCATATCGACAACTGACTGCCATTCGGACCTTCTAAGTTGCTTGATACTCGGCTGTAATCCGAGATACTTGCAGCGGAATGCTCCAATCTTCCAAGGCAAAGCACTTTTGACGAGCTCCTCATCTTTAGCCTCCGAACGGATCATGATGGCAGAAGATTTGGCATAGTTCACTTTTAATCCAGAAGCAGCCCCAAAGATGTCGAGGGCCTCTTTCACAAAATGCAGATCTGCAAGGCCAGGTTTGATGAATAGAACTACATCATCCGCATATAAGGATGGCCGCTGCAGCGGAGTGCAATATCTCATGTTACTTAGAACTCCATAGTCATGTGCTTTGATGACTATCTTTGTAAGGACGCCCATGGCGATAACGAAGAGTAAGGGGGAGATCGAGTCCCCTTGTCTTAAACCTTTAGCATGCATAAACTTAACACCTGCAGATCCATTGACCACCACTCTAGAGCTGGTCGAGGTGAGCAAAGTAGCAATCCAAGATATCCATATGTCCGAGAAACCCTTAGCATGCAGCACCTCGAAAAGAAAAGGCCAAGATAGGTAATGTAATGACATGATTAAATAGAATTGTGGGCATGATGGTTCTCAGGCGAAAGGGGGATTCTGCTCTATTTGATTATTAAATGAAAAAAGAAATACCCATACAATGATAAATCCATGCAAGCATATATTTATACTCCTATATAAGAATCCGGCCTAGGACCAAGAATTGGCAGGCCCCCATCCGTCGCAAACCTTTGGCACGTTTACATTTTCCACTCCTCAAGTCAAGTGGCCGTGGGGAGGGATGACAATGAGGCGCGTGTTGACTTTGTCAACACAAGGCTCCATGCTAATATTCTACTCGATGTTTCTAGAAAAACAAATTCCTTGAGTCCCCACGCTGCTAGTACACCGTAGAGCCTTGACAGAAGCGAGCGGGGTGGTTGGCTATGGCTAGTTAACCACCGGCCGGCGACGTGACCTTACACGAGAAGAGAAGGGCCGGGAGGAGAGGTCAACATCTCACGTCTCCCTCCGGCGCGAAAACTGACGCCCCCTGCTGGCCGTGCGAGGCACGCCCCCTTTTTCTTCTTCTCGCGGCGACCTCGGCGCGCGACGACCGACGCCATCAGCCGCCTGCTCGCTCGCGTACATCTTTTACAATGCCTCCCGCACGCCGGCACGTGTTCCCCGTCCGCGTCGGCCGCGAAGAAGATAGAGTCGAATCTGCGCCGCATCGGTCGGTCGGTACGGCGGCGAATTTCACTCTGGGACCTCAGCGCGGAGTACAGACCGTGGTGGCCGGTGACGGCGATGGAGAAGGAGAAGGAAGCACACCACCGGCCCGAGGGGAGGGAGCGGAACGGTACGCGGGCGCCGGAATGAGGTCGTGCGTGCCAATGCGGCGGCCTCCCCGCCAACTGCCACGGGAGAGGACAGAGGGGACGCGGGGCCCGGCGCACAGGGGAGCACGAGGCTGAAACGAAACGGAATGGATCGAGTCGCGGCCCCCACGTCGTCTTGGGCCCACTCCCGGGCCTTCCCCCTCCACCACCCAATCCAGTCCAGTCAAATGCGCCCACTCGCCCCTGCCCGTAGATAATCACACACACGGAAATAAAATAAAACTTTGAGAGGATTTGGCTAATCGTCCACCGTCCAAGTGTCCCCCGCCACCTCCTGCTCAACACTTCACCTTCACTTTTTTTTTTCCGGGTACATTTCACCTTCACTTCACCGCCACCGGAGACGGCCACCGGATGAAACCCATTGAGGCATCATTTTTTGAAAACACTAGAATCACAAAATGCTCACAAATAAACACACTCATCTCTAAAGGCCTCTTTGATCCCTCCCAGGTTTGTGAAACACAAGAATACAAAACACACTACATAACAGATTATTACAAGACACATGAAAGACATAGGAACAGTGGCTTGGATGGAACACGAAAGAAGTGCCTCAACCCTACGAGGCCATTGAATCTATAAAAAAGGAGGTTGGAGTGGATGTTCAAAATCCTACGTAAAATGATGCAAACGAATCCGTTCCATATGAATTTGCGTCATGTCGTTCCTTAGATTTTTCTTTTTCAAAGGATCGGAATCCTACAAATTCATGCAATCCAAAGAGGGCCTAAAACAGACGGTCATACAAGGCCTCCCACACATATGATTTTCTATGGCGAGCTTTGCATAGAGTACAGAAATATACAAGGCCTCCTTCGAACATGTCAAACGCAGACAGGCCACCCCACCACAGATCATCGTCTCCACCCGATCAACCACGCCACAACCGTTACACGTACGTCGTGCTGCGCCGAAAGAGGGGAGACCCCCTAGTACACCCGTGATAGCCGACTATCAGGCCCTTGACACGACCCGACATACCTGATGTCATCACCATTGTAGAAAAAACCACACCGCTTTCTATATCCATAACAATTGTCTCGTCATGCCCACACGCCACAAGCCACCGATCCACGTCAGTATCCCACGTAACGTTAGCACCGATTAGGGACACATGTACTAATATCCTCAGGCAGTGGCGATTTCTTATCGATCTATATATAAAATACATTGCCATTACTCGACGGATATGTATCACATAAGCAAAGATATACACACACCGCCATTACTCGAAAAAAAAATATAGCACATACATCAAGTGGGGAATTTTGATCAATCTACATATAAATGCATTGCTGTTATTGGGCAAACACAGATCCCACAAAAGCAAGATTCACCATTAATCGACGAATATGTCAACAAGTTAAGTGGTGAATTTGGATCAATCCAGACGTAAATGCATCGCCGAGACTCGACAAAATACATCACAGAAGCAAACCTATAAAATACACCAGCATCCGGAGAATAGATCACACACGTCAGGTGGTTGATTCGGATTGATCCACATATGAATACATTTTTGTTACTAAACTAACACGTATCACATAAGCAGACATATAAAACAAATCACCCCTACCCCACGAACATATCACACACGTCAAAACAACGAATTTCGACCGATCTATGTGTAAATGCATCACCGTTACTCGGCAGATACATGTCGCGTAAGCAAATATTTGGCCGATCCACACACAAATGCATCACCGTTACTCGACAGATACATACCACACAAGCAAAACATGCAAACACACACTGCCGTTACTCGACGAACATATCACATTCCTCAGACGACAAATCTCATCCAATCTACGCACAGAATGCATCGCCATTACCCAACAGATACATCACACAACAAAGCTACTACTAAATAACCAGGAGATTTGGATCTCAAGTCCCATGGAAAAGAAGATCTTTTGATCAATGGTGGGGGCTGGAGGAGGACCATGGTGGAGTGGAGGCCTTGTGAGTGAGGGAGGGAAGAGATATTTTGGGCGGGCCATGGGGGCGGGCGCATCCCGTGGTACGCACACGGGGGGACGCATGGCATTTCGCCCACCAACTTCCTCCTCCCCAGCTTTATACCCCGCGCCTATAAAGTTTCTGCCCACTGCGGCTCTGCTCACCCCGACGATACCTTCCCCTCCCCTTCCTCCCTTCCTTCCCCCCCGCACCACCGCCGCGACGGCGACCCCCCAGCCGCACGCCGAAGCGACCCCCTCCGCCCCGACCGCGTCCGTCTAGGGCTAGGGTTTCCGCCTCCTCTCCGCACCCCTAGCCTGCTCCACGCGGCGCGCCCGTCCACGCCGCAGCCCCGCGGATTCCTCCCCCCCTTTTCAGCTCAAAATCGCCGCTTTTCCGCTCGGTTCTTGGGCACGAATCGGCCATTGATTTCCCCTGGTTATCCGAGGTTTCCCCCTGATTTCTCGGGGCGCGAGCGGGGGCCTTCCGAGGCGATTGGTGCTCTGGAGCAGTCTCTTGCCCGCCGCGGGTTCGGGCGTTGCGGCTGCTGAAGGCCTCGCCGGTTTTTCCATGAGCGCGCGCCGGGGTCCCGGTCGTCTGGGCGCGCGCGCGGGGTGCTCGTGTTAATGCATCGGCTGACCTGCGGCTGCAAGTTCGCCGACCCCGACACGGTCGTCCCCTCCGCGGCGGCGGCGTCGCATCGCGTGCGGCCGGACACCATGAGCTGCGGCAGCGACGGGTGCAGGGACGGCGGCGGCGGCGAGGGGTTCGGGCGGTCGCGGCCGAGCAAGGTCGCGGCCGACGACTCGGTGGAGCCCGCGCGGTGCTCGGACGCCACCTCGCCGCCGGGGTCCTGGATTGACAGGAAGCTGCTGGTCGATCCCAAGATGCTGTTCGTCGGATCCAAGATTGGGGAGGGCGCCCACGGCAAGGTCTACACGGGCAAGTAAGTGGATGAACCTTTATGACCATAACCCGTGCATAGTGTTTCATACTACGTGTTTCAGCCGAAGGTCGGCAGTACTTGCATCAACTGCCCCAGCCAGATTTGAATTTATGTTCCTCAGCTTTAGTACTACTAGCAGCTGTCCAATCCAAACTAATGGGTGTTATTGCAAAAAGTCCAGGAGTTATGTATCAACGAAGTAGGGGGTAAGAGTTGGTATGATTTTAATTTGTTCACCTCCAACTGTGCCTGAATGTACAAGGTGTACGTACAGACACAACAATCGGCAAAATTGCATAATATGCTTGAGAGCCGCTTTAGGGTTATCATTTAATCGACGGCAGTATAACCCCCAATGACCTGATTTATTTTGTGCTTAATTTAGCTATGCCAGTCTGCTATTCCTGCTGTGGTCAAGGATTCTGAATTTTGTGTAAGTTTGCGTCTTGTTCTAATACTTGCACAGAGTTGGTTCTCAAATTTGTTTGTGTTTCAATGTACAACACGGGTGTATATTAACAAATAAAACCATTTTCTTCTGCTGCTAATTGTTGATGTTCTCACAAGTTGAGCTGTCAGCCTGACATTCTTGTCCCCCCAAGAAGAAACCTATGCTGTTTAATTATATTCTATATTGTGGTTTTGTTTTGTCCATGTGGATACTCTTACTCTTGCTGACTTGCATCAGTAATTAACTAGTTTGTGTGTATGTTTTCCAATAGGTATGGTGATCAGATTGTAGCCATAAAAGTTCTCAACAGTGGCAGTACCCCCGAAGAAAAAGTAACACTTGAAGATCGTTTCATCCGAGAAGTCAATATGATGTGTAAAGTGAAACATGATAATCTTGTGAAGGTACATCCTTGCCTGAATGACACATTACTGTGCCTAATCTGATCTTAGCATAGCCATTGCTAACTACTCCTAAATCATTAATTTTCTTGTGTCCTCCTTCTCACAAAAAAATTCCGCACTTCTACAGTTCATTGGAGCCTGCAAGGAACCATTGATGGTGATTGTAAGTGAGCTGCTACCAGGGATGTCGCTGAAAAATTACTTGAACAGCATCCGGCCCAGCCAACTAGATATCCATACTGCATTAGGCTATGCACTCAACATAGCTCGTGCAATGGAATGTTTACATGCCAATGGAATAATACACAGAGACCTGAAACCTGGTATGTGTGCTTGGACTGTTTGACTTCTCCTGTTGCATCTCCAGTTTTTTCCTTTACGTGCATAGTAAGTTGCATTTCTGTTGGTGTAAACAATACCGATACCGGGTGGTATATTTACCAAGTTTTTTTGGAAGATGTCAAAACATGGGTACACAATATACGCTTTAAAGTTCAAAGCTAAGAAATTGTATCAGGCATATATTTCTGTGTCAAAGGCAAGAGCACGTGCATTGAAAGAGAAGCATCTTGGCCGGTTAATCATTTAAAAATTTCAGTAAGATGTTTCTGCATCTAATTCTTGAATGTTCCTATCTCCATATCCATGGTATCCACTTTATTCCCGTTCATGTTTGTTCCACGATATGTTTCTTTCGCCCTCTCGGTCTTACCCTTCTGTTTTACTTGCTTTAACTTCTAGGTTCTTCCAGTAGTTGTTTTGTTCCTTTCTGTCAAAGCTGTTCTGTTACACTCTTTATGCTTTTACAGTGTCCTAATAAATGTTTTTTGATTGTGCAGATAATTTGTTGCTTACTGCAAACCGTAAGAAGCTGAAGCTTACTGATTTTGGACTCGCACGAGAGGAAACTGTGACTGAAATGATGACGGCTGAAACTGGGACATACCGATGGATGGCCCCAGAGGTTGTAAATCACTCTTTTCTGCACTAGCTAGTCAACATTAATAAATTATGAGCTGAAGCCAGAATAAAATCTAGAGTTGATGCTTGAAATTATACTTCTATTGTATGCCCACTTGATAATTTCCTGGCTGCAGTTTCTAGAGTTACTGATTTCGGGATCGTCTATACAAAGAGAAATCAGATGCTCTAGCACTGATCTCTGTGATTCCAAAACCTGACTCGTTGTCTTATGCTTTTGTAGTTATACAGCACTGTCACACTTCAACGTGGTGAAAAAAAGCACTACACAAATAAAGTGGATGTGTACAGCTTTGGCATCGTCCTGTGGGAGTTGCTGACCAATAAAATGCCATTCGAAGGCATGTCGAATCTACAAGCTGCATATGCTGCTGCTTTTAAAGTAAGTATATGATTATGAGACTATCATTTTGTGACGGAATGATACCACTTTCTAGAATGTTGTCTAGCAATTATAAAATCCTGCGACTCTAAATGAGTTACAACTCTCCTGTTTCACCTTGCAAATCTTGTCCGTACTGGCAGGCCATTGGTAATGTCTCTTTACTGGACAAAACTGTTTACTGCTAAAGTAACAATACTGTCTATGTTTTGAAGTCTTAGCTCAAAAAATTGCTTGGCTACCTGAAGAATGAATGATAGCAAAATTGCGAGACAAAATGGCCACGCATTTGTGCGAAGAAGGCCACACATTAATTCTGTATTTTTTACACTGTTACTTATTTTTTAAGAAACATATGTTAGCACCAACAAATGAGCTGGTCATAGTCTATTTTCAAAGAATGTTTGAGCATAAACTTCTTTTCTGACGACTGTTTTTGACATTGGTTTCTATTGGAATCCACTAATCTTACCCATATTTTCTCTTGTTTACCATGGCAGCAAGTACGCCCAGCTTTTCCTGAGGACACCCCCCAGGAGCTCGCGTCCATCGTGCAGTCATGCTGGGTCGAGGACCCTGCTATGCGGCCCAGCTTCAGCCAGATCATCCGCATGCTGGATGCCTTCCTCACGACGATCCCTCCGCCGCCCCCTTCGGAGGCAGACGAGGACGCGACGGAGTCGGAAGACACAACGTCGTCGCTGAGCAGCAAGAGCTCCTCGGTCTCCTCCATCGTTTCCCGTGCGACAAGCAAGCTCTCGGTCGTCCGCCATCTGTTCGCCTCGAAGAAGGGGGGCAGCAATGGGAAGGCATGATCCGCGTCCGCGGGCCATGCCCCTGAGACGTTTTTCCTTGGTGCTGTAAAGGTGTTAGCCTAGGTTAATGATGATACAGTGGTGGGGGACGGTGATGATGATACAAGAGGAGGGATCTTGTCTAGCCTAGGGTTAGCTTTTGCTTGTTTTGTGTTTTGATGATACGGAAGAAAAAAGGGTGCAATGCATACTTGTGCAAGCTATGTGATGTATAGCTGGCGGCTGCTCTGCCATAAACTTTTGTATGCTGCCATTGAGCTCAATCCAATCCCCTCTTGTTTTCACTGCAATTTTTAGCCCTTTGCCAATCCTGTGATCCTGACAGACTTGATGGGGATGATCAATGGATCTTAGAGATGGTTGCTGATCACTGACTCTTGAGCTAACATTTTAATGATTACATTGTTGGGATTTTCGAAGTTGACAAAAAAATCTACCAATTTCTAGGGTGACCAAGTTACTCACAATTTCTTCCCTGAACAGAAAGTTACTCACACTATGTAAATTTTGCAGTAGTTGATATTTGTTGGATAAATGAATAAATGGCCATGAATTGTCAATCCCAGTGGACTAACAAATACTCCCTCCGTCCGGAAATACTTGTCGGAGGAATGGATGTATCTAGACGTATTTTAGTTATAGATACACCCAATTTTATCCATCTCTCCAACAAGTATTTCGGGACGGAGGGAGTATAAAAGATCTCCTGAATCCTGATGTAATACTAAATGAAAATTTGACAGACAAATGTAAACGATAATTTAGTTAAAAGCTCTCAATTTTTTGAAGCATTTTAGAACCTTATACTACAATACTAAGATGTCCTTCATCAAGTTATTTCAAATTACTAGTGTCTTTCACAAATTCTGTGTGAAATTATTTCAGCATTTGAAAACTAGCACAGGTGATGCTACCACTCTACCAGCACCAGCGCACTGCAGCCCCGGTCAGCAAACCTTCTCCCCACCCCCACCCCCCCGCCCCGCCGCGGGAGCGCTCCGCGGCCGCCATGGCGTCTCCTCCGGGCCCGGGGTCTGCCAACCGCGCGCTCTCCTCCTCATCGAGGGGGCCGCTCTCGCCCTTCCCCGGCGGCGCGGGCCCGTTCCTCCGGCATCAACATCCTCCCGGCGGCGACTCCGACGGCGGCGCCTCGTTCGACGAAGATGACGACGACGATGACGAGGAGGAGGAGGATGGGGAGGATCAGGACGCCGAGCTGGCGGCCCGCAGCTCGCAGCAGCGACGCGCCGCCTCTCCAGGTGAGTCAACCCAACCCAAGGGTTTGCTCCTGTAAATTACTAGCAGTACTTATGCAGCTTCTGGTAGTACGAGGTGAGCTGAATTTGTGAGAAAATCTGAAGCTAAGTTGGGTTCATATGAATATGATCTCCCTCCGAGCAGCAAAATATCTCCATTTAGGAATTTTTTTCATCTGTATCATCTGATTTATCTGAATGAAGGTGATCACTGACGCTGTTGCTTGCTGGTTCACGCAGCAAGAATCGGGCGGCCTGTGGTGAATGGGGAGAATGGAGGGAGTCAAATCCAGGAAGGGCAGCAATGGCAGCTGTACAGCTGTGGAACCGAGCAGCATGACCGCGCTTCGTCTAGAGGGGACGAAGAACCTGGTTCTGTTCCCAGGGAGATGAGGGTGGAGGATGGATATGGGGTTATTGGGAGAAGAGAGGGAGGCCCTGCATCTAGCTACTGGGACCTGCTCAGAGCGCACCTTTCGGACCCGTTGACGTGAGTAGCTTATGCAAATGCCTGTTATTCGCTTGAGAATTTAGTTTTTGTTTTGGGGAAAACTCAAAACGGTACCGGGCTCATCTGCTCTCTCTCAGCAAAAAATTCAAAAAAAATACTAGAAAAATTCAAAAAATTCCAATTTTTTTTGTGGTGGTAGATAATTTGACGCGTGAGGTGCGCCCCAAAATTCAACTCATTTGGACATCTGAGCAGCTCTCGGCAAAAAAGACAAATCGGGTCAAAACAGTGCGTGAACAGTAAACATTTTTACAGACCCTGATTTTGTCTTTTTTGCCGAGAGCTACTCAGATGCTCAAATGAGCTGATTTTTGGGGCGCACCTCACGCGTCAAATTATCTACCACCACAAAAAAATTTGGAATTTTTTGAATTTTTCTAGTATTTTTTTTGAATTGTTTTCTAAGCGTGGGTGCAGATGAGCCCGGGTGCAGATTAGCCGCACTCTTGTTTTGGTAAGTATTTACTTAGCTATTTCACCTCCTTTGTTGACTGTATATAAGCTTCCAATATTGATAGTGTATATGCTTTCAAGCATTCCTTTACGGCTTTACCCGCTTTGTAGGCTTTTGGCACTTCCCCACTAATTCATGTAAATGCAAAATGTCACTGAATTCGTCGTACCCAAATATCATGTCCGGTAGCGGCAATAATGAACATGATATCTGGGGGGAAAATCCAGTATCTCATCCATTTATATTCCTGTGTCTGAATTTGTAGAGGTATTCTCATGGACGACGCAATGATTCTTTCATGTGGCCATTCTTATGGAAGTAGTGGGATGCAGCATATCTACAGAATGGTTTGTCCAATAGCCCTTACCGTGTAATACAGTAATAGTTGTTCAAACTTTTTCCTTATTTTGTTACAGTGTAGTTTGCAGTTAGATATCCTGTATCCTCCTGCTTGTTGCTACATCTCTTCATTTTTGTGTTAGGATTGCCTTTAATCATAGCTCCTTCTTTTTGAAATACTAATCATAGTAACTTGATGTGCTTTTGAAGCACAGTGTTTTCCTTTTACACATTTCTTACTGTTCTTGAAATAATAGGACTGCACTCTACTGTCAGGGCCTCCTCATCCACCAACAATTTTTTGGTGAAAACATATGCGGATGTGCATTCAATAGAATGAAAGTCTCCAACTGCATCTTTTCCGTTTATGTATTGTGTTGTCCAAACTGAAACTAGAAGTATTTCGTGGTTATCCATTTGCTCTCAGCTTGGGTAACCACATCAGGCAAACTTTGCTTTCAAGGTAAAGCGTTACACATGTCTTACTGTTCTAGAATAATTGGAGTGCACTCTACTGTCGGAGCCTCCCCATTCCCCAACTATTTTTCGGTGAAAAGACATACAGATGTGCACTAGATAGAATAAAACTAGAGGTATTTCTTAGTTATCATAAGTAAAGTTCTCCAACTGCATTTTTCCCCATTCATGGATTGTGTTGTCCAAACTGAAACTAGAGGTATTTCATAGTTATCCATTCGCTGTGTCAGCATGAGTAACCACATTAGGCAAGCTTTGATTTTCTAGGTAGAACATTAATTTGAGACAATCCTGGAAGGTGGCCAGCAACACTACTAAAAGAGGGATTTTTGTGAAGCTTCAAGTGCATGCGAAAGTAACAGAGAATTGTTTTCGTCCTGCTATGCAGAAAGCTTGTGGTAAATGTGGTCAGCCAATCACCGAGAACTCCATTCGACCAAACCTGGGTATGGACTTAAAACTGCAGGCTATTTCGCCACGATTTCTGAGGTTTACTTTCAGCTATCTCATAGAAATCGGTGCACGTCATATGTACTGGGTTTCTTTGCTTCCTTCCTGTCCTGTTTTCACAAAGATCTCTAATGTTCCCTTTTTGCCCGCCATGTTTTCAGCTCTTGGCCTTGCAGTCCAGGCATTTAGACGAGAGGAAGAGTCGGCAAAAACGTTGAAAAGAAAAAGAGACCGCCTGGAACAGGTATACACTTTTTTCCGGGTCTATGTTACTGAATGCCCGAACATGGACAGTTGAACATGTTACACGATGTTCTTAAATCTGTTCTCTCTGTAAAATGAGGACAAATGTGGCAACGATGACCCGGGTCCAGCTGAGGTTTCAAGAGGCAAAGGTGTCCAGTATCCTTTCGCTGTCTTCGACCGGGTGATAATCAAGGTAGGTATCTCTATCCCTCTTTACTCTGCCAAGCATATACGCTTTTGTTCTTCTCCAGTCTTTCCCTTTTCGCGATGATGACCAGAACAAACTTCCGTCAGGGAAACAAGAGGACCCCGGAGCGGTTCGTGGGGCGCGTCGCGGTGGTGACGGCTCAGTGCTTGAATGGATGGTAGTACCTTTAATTCGTTCACCCAATCATCTTTCGAAACCAAACGCGACACTTACCGGTGTTGAGCAGGTACGTGGTGAAGACCCTGGACAACGCGGAGAGCGTGAAGCTGCAGTACCGTTCGCTGGCGAAGTTCGTCGACGGCGGCGGCGGCGAGCCTCCTGCCGTGGCCTCCAACAGTTCCCAGAACACAAGCTGGTTGTGACTTGGAAGGTACAAAAGCAGATCATGCTGAGCACAAGCACAGAATCAGATCTCCAGGCCCCCATCTTTTGCTGTTTCCAGGAGGAGGCAAACAGTAGAGTGAGGAACATTATCCTTTTTTGGTAGCCAATCACAGTGTCAATCTTTATGGTGCTCCTCTTTCCTTTCCTTTTTCTTTTTGTGGCAGCAACTAGGTACCATGTGGTGTCAGTCAGTGTCCTTGTGATGTGAGGCTTTGTAGAATGCTACCATTCCAGTACACCCTTATCCAGGCTGCTGTGATAAATCAGGAAGCAATCATGGTGCCACCAAAGGGCAACCACCAACACAAAAGTTTGGTGAAACAAGCATTCAGGATAAATGGTTCTTTTCTTTTTAAGTAAGAACAACATTGTGTTGATAAAAGCGCCATTTATTGGGAAACAACAACATTGTTGTGTATGCTTTGTCTAGGGCGCACGTGGGTGGGTACTCCCGCGCGGCGCGCCTCTTTTGATCTTGTCGGCGTGCCTTCTCCCCGGCTTCTTCATTGCCGGTCCTCCCCTTGCTTTTTTTTGGGTGATCCTATATGCCTCGCTTGTCACCCATGCTTCTTTCGATTCCTTCTATCGTAGCTTTGGGCCGCGACTCGCCGCACAATTAGCTAGCTCTCGGTGCCATCGAAGGGGGCTAGATAAGGAAACACCTCACCAAAGGAG